TCTTGAAATGTGGTGCCCAGAACTGGACACAATACTCCAATTGAGGCCTAACCAGCACAGAGTAGAGCGGAAGAATGACTTCTCGTGTCTTGCTGACAACACACCTGTTAATGCATCCCACAATCATGTTTGCTTTCTTTGCAACAGCATCACACTGCTGACTCATATTCAACTTGTGGTCCACTATAACCCCTAGATCCCTTTCTGCCATACTCCTTCCCAGACAGTCACTTCCCATTCTGTATGTATGAAACTGATTAGCCAATTACAAAAGCAGTTTCTCCTCTCTTGGTGTTCACACCTCCAGATCAGCTGCTAGAAGTGGGCCTCATCCTCCCTGTTTGAATTTACCTTGTTATGTCTAGCCTGATTCTTGCCTGCGTATTTATACCTGCCTCTGGAAATTTCCACTACATGCATCTGACGAAGTGGGTCTTTGCCCATGAAAGCTTATGCGCCAATAGATCTGTTAATCTATAATGTGCTACAGGACTCCTTGTCGCTTTTATATATATATTTGTTAGTCTCTAAGGGTGTGTCTAAACAGCAGGGCTTAACTCAAAATAAGCTATGGAAATTGACCTACGTCAATTGCTTATCTTATTTCGAAATAGGGCGCATCTACGCAGGACTTATTTTGAAATAGAGCACTCTTCCTCCAACTTCCCTTACTCCACGCAAATGAGGGTTACAGGAGTAGGAGTAAGAAGTCCTCCAGCTTGACAGTAGTTTGACACTATTCCGAAATCGCTGCCTGCTGTTAGACGCGGACTAAGTTATTTCGAAATAACGTTACTGGGTAGATGTATCCTTAGTCGTCATTGTTTATTTGTATTACTTTGGGTCCTATTTCGAAATAGTGTTGCAGTGTAGACGTACCCTAAGCCCTTAGTCGTCATTGTTTATTTGTCTTACTTTGGGTCCTATTTCAAAATAGTGTTGCAGTGTAGACGTACCCTAAGGTGCCACAGGACTCCTCATTGATTTTAAAGTTACAGCCTCCCACGACTCCCCCTCTGAGGCTTAGAGGATACAATCGTTCCAGCCCCTTGGCCCAGTTACAAACACTGCAGGAGTTTGGAAGTTCGGCTCTTGGTTTTTTCAAAGGTGGCAACCATTGAGGGAGCATGGAATTGTGTCAATTCCACTTCAATACATTGCCCAAAGTTAAAATTCGGGGCTAAGGCCGCCTCTCCCTCACATGGCTAACGTTTCCTTTTATTCAATCATGACACCAGGGAGAATTTCATCAGATCATTTGGCAGACTTTAAGTGGGACAACATTTTCAAAGACCTGTGTGAATTGGGGAGGCTTTGTCCTTTGTGCTTTTAAAAATCTCCCCCTAAAATCTCCCTCTCCGGTTTTTTTGTTTTTTTTTTAGTGTCAGTCTCTCTGGGCTCCTGAACATGAAGTGGCTGATCCAAAGCTCACTCAACGGGCGTCTGTCCATTGATTCTTCAGCTGGCTTGGGAGCAGATCTGAGATTCTCACATGTCTGAAAGAGAAGCGGGCCAGCAAGCCTGGCACGTCCCCATTCTCTTGTGCAGAACAATCCAAACTACTTCTCGTCAGCGTTTGGCTTTGGAGAAAAGCTTTTCTTGCCTTTATGGTTTAATTGATGGAGGAGTCAGGCAGGGAACAGAAATGCCCTGAAACAAAGCAGGAGACGGGAGCAGATCTGAGATTCTCACATGTCTGAAAGAGAAGCGGGCCAGCAAGCCTGGCACGTCCCCATTCTCTTGTGCAGAACAATCCAAACTACTTCTCGTCAGCGTTTGGCTTTGGAGAAAAGCTTTTCTTGCCTTTATGGTTTAATTGATGGAGGAGTCAGGCAGGGAACAGAAATGCCCTGAAACAAAGCAGGAGACTCTTTCTGTGGCTTTTGGGAAAAGCAAGAAAAACGTCTGTCAGTCTGTCGGTCCGTCAGTCTGTCTGTCGGTCAGCTGGAGGGGCGGAGCCTGGCTCTGTGCGTGTGTGTGTGTCCGCACATTCAAAATCCTCTCTTTATGGCAGTGTTTCCCAATTGGTGCTCCGTGGAACCCTGGGGTTCCGCAAAGCGAAAGCAAGGGTCCCGCGAAGAGCCGGCACTCCCCCGCCTCTCTTTTAAAGAGACAGAGCCGTGGCAGAAATCATGGAAGAAGTGGGTTGTTTAATGGGTTTTTTTGCTTGATGAAACGCGGTGGGGGTCTTTTTTTTTAAAGGCAACCCTAGTGGTTCCATGGCCAAATAAAATTGGGAAACACTGCTTTATGAAGAACACCTAGAGAGTTGTGAAGTCTGGAAGAGTCCAACAGAGACCCGTTAGTCACCCTCCCCATACTGGCGAGGACTGAAACTGGACTTAGCGACGCCCAAACGCCGCGGGTCAACTGGCTGAATGCAAGCCACTCTCCGAGCAATAAATTAATGAATTCTCCCAGTCTTGCGAAGGGGGTGGGCGAGTCTTTCTTTTATGCCGGGCCAGACAGCAGCGGGGGGAGCAGAGAAGTAGAAAGGGGAGTAGGGCTGAGAAAGTGACGGGGTACTCCATAAATATTATATTGGAACTCGTTTGCATTTGAGCCTGCGCTGGGTGACAGGCGGGCCAGACAATCCCTGCATTGAACTGTCAGGCGGCGGCTAGACAGCCCAGCTGGTGTGAATGGGCTGCGCAGCGGGTGAGAAAGGACCCATGGGTTCAAGGTCAGAGGTAGCCCCTCGTGTATTATTCAGCCAATCCCCTTCACTTTTGTCCATAAAACTAATAAAGTGAACTGGCTGTTACACGCTGAACATACCAACTGGCTGCCAGTGCCAAGCGGGGGGCTGGGAACTGGTGCTCACCCCCCTCTCTGACCCGCTGTAACGTTGTTTCAGGGCCCCTCATCCACTCAGCGTCTGACGAAGACGTCGATCCCACCGCACCCCCCAAGGCATGTGTCCATGTGGTGACGGCGCGTCAGGGAGCCCCGACCCTGCACCCCCGTCCGCAGCCAGATGTTTCTCCCCGCCAGCCAGTAGAGTAAAAAGGGTTTATTGCTTCTCTGAGATACAACACAGCAAAGGCTCGATGTTGACTTAGGAGCCAGGGCAGAGCCTTAGCGCTCTCAGGAGGAAGAGGGTCGCAGGCCCCTGATCCCCTCCTGTCTTGGACTTAGTCTGCTTCCGTCATGCTTCCCCCAGCTAAGACTGCTCCAACCCCCAGCAACTGGTCTCTCAACCCCCAGGCAACCACACCCCTTGCTTTGTTCAGAGTCCACCACCTAGCCCAGGTGTCAGGCGGCTGGGCCATGCCTACACACACACACACACACAGCCTCTGCAGATCAGCATAGGGCAGTAGGGGTCAAACACACACACAGAGCCTCTGCAGATCAGCATAGGGCAGTAGGGGTCACACACAACACACACACACACGCACAGCCTCTGCAGATCAGCATAGGGCAGTAGGGGTCACACACAACACACACACACACACACATAGCCTCTGCAGATCAGCATAGGGCTGTAGGGGTCACACACACACACACACACACACAGCCTCTGCAGATCAGCATAGGGCAGTAGGGGTCACACACAGCACAACACAGCAACCAGTGACTGCAAAACCAGAGTGGATCCAGTGAATGCCACAAGACAGCACCTCCACTACGTCACACCCGTGAACCCGCGTGAACGGTATGGTGGCTCGGAAAAAGAGCTCTCTCCTCCCGCAGGATCTTTGTTCGGAGGTTAACGAAAGATGTGAGAAGGCGGGAGACCAGAGGATGATCTGGGGGGCAATGGAAGGGGCCAAGAAGGGAGCACGGTTCTTGAGTTGGGATTTCCAAAGGCGTTCGTCACCCGGGCCCCCCTGATTCCTCAGAAGTCCTGTGAAATCCCAGCTGGAGGGTTGGACATGAGTGGACCAGTAGGGAGGATCGGGATGGTGCTAAGAAAAAAGAAGCTTAGGGCCCAGTTCTCTGCTGGTGCAACGTGGCACAAGTCCACATTACAGCAGGCGGAGGAATCTATCCTGGAGGCAATAGACCAAACTTCCTGCCGATGTGATGGATCTGGCTGGGGCGTCAGCCCCCCAGGGGAAGGGGAGAGGTCTCTATTCCCCTCTCCCTGCCCCGCTGTGAAAAGGATCTAGCTGGGGAATTGTTTCCCTGTGGCTTGGGCCCGGACCAGGCAGAACAAAAGCGAATGTAACCAAGGAACTGATCCTGCCCTGGACCTGGGAGATGGGCAGGATTGGTCTTGCCAGGAAGTCTCTATGAAAACCGCTCTGATTCTCTGCACATGATTCCAACCTCCCACGTGAGTTGGTTTTTTGCCTGTCTACATTTTCACGCTGTGCGTGGCATGGCTGGGGGTAGCATGCGCAATAGGTCAGCAACTCTACATGACTTCGGCCCAGCCCTGGACTCTCCTCTCAGGCACCTGTCGCCATCCCTTGCTGCTCCGTTGCTGTCATTCTACACATCTGAAATCTGCAATTTGACATGCAACATTTTTGCTCGGGGGGGGGGCGTGGGGTGGGGAATAGGAGCAGGTTTAGATTGTAGGGATCTTCGACTCCGGTCCTCTCCGCACGGTGGCGACTTTTTCCTTGGCCCTCTCGCCCAGCTCTGGTCTGCAGAGAGCGTGCCCTGCAGGGGCCTTCAGCTTCTGTGGGATTGTGTGTGTGTGTGTGTGTGTGTGTGTGTGTACGTACACTAGACACTTGCAGTATGATGCAACACGCCTACCGCTGGGAGGGGAAGTGCCCAGCCAAAAGCACCCGGCATCCCCACCGCTGCCCCGGAACTCCCAGGTTGTAATCACAGCACCAGGAGAGAGTGTCTTTTGGAATATTTTATGGCATATTCGTCAGTCCCTAGCAACCCTTGTTTCCATGGCAAAGAACCTTTGCGCCAAGGCTGAGGTGTAAATGATCATTTCTGCTCATTTCATTCTAGGCATCCGTGCTCGGAATCCCGCCCTGGAACACCAGTGGGCACGCGTCGGGGGCTCTAAAATCCAGGCGGGCTTATGGAATTTCCCCTTGGTTGGGGTTTTAAAACACAGAACAGGGGGAATACCCCACGGCCACGTTTACACTAGAAGATTATTTCGAATGTAATCATTCGACTTAATTAATATTAAATTAATATTTAATTTAATCAGTTCGGCTTTGGGGCACCTGATTTTACAAAATCAAACTTTCGTGTCCTCCCTTCTGGAAAGAATCGGATGTGGTCCGAGGCAGGCTCCATTAATGTGGTTGTGCTCCCTCGGACTCAGAGCTCCAGAAAGCATGCCGAGGAGCTGTGGGGGGCCTCCCCCAGGCCAATTAATTCGAATTAGCAGCACTGGAGCATCCCCATTAACGTTAGTCCTGATTTCCAAGTTTGGGAATAGCGTTATTCCCCATGGAAAGCGGGAGTGCAGAGTTCAAATTCCGCAGTCCCTTATTCCAGAATCACAGGCTTGGTAGTGTGGATGTGCCACTTACAAATTCGACCTGGGGGTGGGTTATTTCTGACTAAGGTCCTAGTGTAGACCAGGCCCAAGAGTCCCCGCAGCACCAGGAGATAGAAGAAAGGGGAGATTCCCCTTAAAAAATCCCTAGATTCTCCTCCCCAGACCTTTAGGAAACCTGGCAAGCAGCAATGCAGGATTCAGCCCCAGCTCTCAAACAGAAAGGAACCGAGACTAAGGGCTCCCTGTGAGTTAGGTACATGGAGGAGCCCCAGTTAGCTATGGGGAAACTGAGGCACAGAGTGGCCAAAAGGACAGACTTCTGGTCTCTCCATCGGGGCTGCCAGAACATCGTAGATGGGAAAACATCCTTGTGGTGTCTTTGGTCCCACTCCCTGCAGGGTCTAGTTTGAGCCAGGGGACAGAGTCAAGATAGTCATCATCCACATGTGAAGCTGAAAACTGCTACCATGTGTGGAAGAAACTCTGGTCTAGTGGCACAGAGCAAAGGGCTGGTCATCAGGGCTCCCAAATTCTATTCACAGCCCTCTGGCCATAGAGTCGTTAAATTAACTCTTTCTTTCTCGGTTCATCCATCTGTACAATGGGCATAATGCTGTTCCTGTTGTCAAGGCTGTTCCCCACTCTGGCACGATGAATGCAGAAGTGGGGACCCACAAAAGCACCCCAAAACCTGATGTCTACAGGCTTTGGTACAAAAATGTCCCCCAAAATCCTAATACCTGGACTCTGGGAAATAAAAACCGCTGCCACCACCCAAGTATTACAAGAAAAACCAGGGAAGAGGTCACTTGGGTAACCTCCGCCCTAAAAACCTCAGGGGTACCTCCAGCTCTTTTCCCCAAAGATCTTGAAAAAGAAAAGAGAAAATACAAGCTGCAGTCTGTGGCCGCTGTCCCCGAGTCAGAGGCATGCAGATATCCACAGCAGATTTACCAGGACACAGAAATGAACCAATACCAGCTTATTTAAAAAAAGAAAGAACTTTTATTATCAAAACAAAACTCCAGTTACAAGCATAGTTGGAATGGCTAGATGGTAAGAGCCATCAATTAATATACTCATGGGGGATCCCTCCATGGGGCAAAACTCAGTTACAAAAGAGAGGGGAAACCATTTCTAACAGCACAGACCTCAGATCCAAATTCCCAAACCAGAAAACAATAAAACCGGATGGATTTATCTAGACTTTACCCTACTTACACATTATGACGAGTCTTTTTCTTGGAGAGAGACAGGAGAAGTCATTCTTCCACTCTACTCTGCGCTGGTACTCTTGCACTCTACTCTGCAATTGGAGTATTGTGTCCAGTTCTGGGCACCACATTTCAAGAAAGATGTGGAGAAATTGGAGAGGGTCCAGAGAAGACCAACAAGAATGATGAAAGGTCTAGAGAACAGGACCTATGAAGGAAGGCTGAAAGAATTGGGTTTGTTTAGTTTAGAAAAGAGAAGATTGAGGGGGGACATGATAGCGGTTGTCAGGTATCTAAAAGGGTGTCATAAGGAGGAAGGAGAAAACTTGTTCATCTTGGCTTCTGAGGATAGAACAAGAAGCAATGGGCTTAAACTGCAGCAAGGGAGGTTTAGGATGGACATTAGGAAACACTTCCCAACTGTCAGGGTGGTGAAGCACTGGAATAAATTGCCCAGGGAGGTTGTGGAATCTCCATCTGTGGAGATATTTAAGGGTAGGTTCTATAAATGTCTATCAGGGATGGTCTGGACCAGTGGTTCCCAAACTTTTCAGCATCACGCCCCCTTTTTGATTTTTGAGAAATCCTCACCCCCACCTCCCCTCCCATAGCAGCAAAACTTGTTGAGCCAAAAAAAAAGGAATTGACTGGGGCTGAAAAACAAAAACAGCAGCAAAACTTAGGGGAGGGGGATTAAGGAGGGGGATCTGGGTCACCTCGCGCCCTCCCTGGAATTTCGGCACGCCCCCAGTTTGGGAACCCATGATCTAGACAGTACTTGGTCCTGCCATGAGGGCAGGGGACTGGACTCGATTTCTCGAGTTCCCTTCCAGTCCTAGTATTCTATGATTCTTCTGTCTCCCTCAGTATCTAGAGAGCAAAACTGGCTCAGAGACAAAGGAGGGAAAACCCAAAAATTCCTTTGTCTCCCTTTGAAATTCCTCCCTGCATTTCTGTTGGCTGACTGCTACCTGGCCCTCCCTGCATTTCTGTTGGCTAACTGCTACCTGGCTAGGTAGAGGGGACATAGTTAACCCCTTAGTTCCAGGCTGTTGGCTAACCCTCATGGCCATGACAACCGTGAAACGTGCTTTTAAAACATTTGGAGCTCTTCGGATAAAAGGCAAAGTGGGGTAAGGCATTCTTCCCTCCATTAGCAGGTGGCTGGGTTTCATTTATTAACTATAAGTCAGTTTGTGTAGATTAGGACTATTCCCAACCATTGGTTTTAGGAGGATTGTGTGTGTCGGCCACGTGATGTGCCGTGCGGTAGCCTGGCTTAGGAACGCCGAAGGATGCTCCATATTAGTATAAAGTGATTTCAGGGCACTCTGCTGGTGACACGTCTTGGTTAGTTTATTACAAGAAAACAGGCTCATTTGCATGGAGGGAGGCGTATCCCAAACAGGGAAACTGGGGGAGTTCATCGGCCTTCCCAGTGCAGCGAACCATGTAGTGCCCGGCTTGTCTACCTTACATAAAGAGGAGAGTTTGGGACTGACATACATATTCATTATTCGCTAGCTTCAGGGGGTAGCCGAGTTAGTCTGTTACAGAAAAAAAAAAAAAAGGTCTGGTAGCACTTTATAGACTAACGAAACGTGTAGATGAGATCATGGGCTTTCGTGGGCACAGCCCACTTCTTCAGATGACCAGAGTTATGAGTTTAGGATGTGTATACCCAAAATAAATAGGAGAGGGCAAGAGGAGTGGGGAGGGAAGAAAAAGAAAGGGGGTGGGAGACAGAGAGCATCAGTAAGTATCTGAAGATTGGATAGTTAAACTGAAGCAGATAAGAATCAAAGTCAATATATTTATTATTATTCATTATTGTTGTTAATAATAATACTTACTCATTAATTAATCTATTCATTGTATTATTTTAACCGTAACGGTGGACATGATTTTTGTTCATGTCTCTTCATTTCGACTTTCCGCATCCCCAGTGGTGCTGGGAACCCCAGGGTGGCGTCTCAGCTGCTGTAAATCGATCTGGTGCCGTCAAAGTCAGTAAGCGACACTGATTTCCCCAGCAGCACTGGGACAGGCTCCATTCAGGAAAGCACTTAAGCGAGCGCTTTAATTTTAAGCTGGCACTTAAGTCAAAAGGACATAAACACGTGTTGAAGCATTTCCCTGAGTTGGAGTCGTAATGCAACAGACCTGGGAACTGAACCCGCCTGGAGAATGACAAGGAGCCAAATTGCAACAGACAAGCTGCTGTCCAAATTGAGTGAATCCTTTTGTTTCAGTGTTCCCGAGTGCTGGAAATTCCAGGGCCAGATCCCCACCTGGTGGGACTCAGCCAAACTCGATGAAATGGACAATACCTGATTCCCTACCCACGTCCTACCACACCTACACGGAGACCAAGCTCTATCCTACTTCCACTGAACTCAGCGGCCAGGCTTACGTTGATTTCAGTGGCACAGGATGTGGTCTATGATCTCCCAAAGGAGGATGTTTAGCCTGTCAGTTTACAGCCCATCACTCATCTTGATAACTAGCCACCCATATCTCAACTATCTAACCAGCATTTCACTTGGCCACGGTCCCACTAGCCCCTTAATCCCCTTGATTTCAGTGGGAATATGCACAGGAAGAGTAAGGACAAGCCGCATGATTAAAGGATCAGACCAA